TGTGTCGGGAGCAGAAATCTTTCCTGTGTCGCTTGTGCCAAGGCGAGGAGCTGAAATCAGACCAGGTAAGGCAGCTGGGTTGCCTCCCACACTGTGCCCCACTGAGCATGCGGAGGGCTGGAGGGATGCAGGGATGGAGCTAGACCCTGACAGCTGCAGGAGTAACCGAGTGAAAAATGCCTGCTCTTTCTCCCCCCTCTCCTGGGAGGGATTTCCCCTTGCCGGATCCCACCTTGCTGTGTTGTAGCCTGGCACCTGTCTTCCTGAGCTGGGGAAAAGAGAGGCCATCTCCCCTCTGCCCCTGCTCTCCTGCCTCTCTATCACCCCACATCCCCTGGCTCTACCTCCCAGCCTGACTCAGCCTTGTCCCCTATATGGGGGCTCTCTGCTCTCTCACACCAGGCCTGTACGCACAGTTGCAGAAGGAGGCTGAGGCCTATTTTTTTGGCTTTCTCAGCGGGGTTGGTCCATGCTGAGGTGGGCACGCTGAGCATACCAATACAGGAGTTAAAATCCAAGCTGGGCTGATTTGGCTAGGGACTCGCAGGGGCCCATGGTTTCCAAGGAGTCTTAGAAATAGTGGACATTTTTGCTTAGGTTTGTATTTTCTTTGTATATTTTGTATAGTCTGGAGCTTTTGAGGGTTGGTTACAAGTTCCCCATGGAGTTTTTCTCCTCGTGGTCTATCTCTGTTGCTAGGATGAGACTGGTGCATACCTAATAGACCGGGACCCCACTTACTTTGGACCCATCCTGAATTTCCTCCGTCATGGGAAGCTGGTCCTGGATAAAGATATGGCTGAAGAGGGTGAGTCTTGGAGCGCAGAAACTTCCCACTTAACATTGCTGCTGTAGACAGGACACAGTAGGACTTGTTCTCGACCTTCTTGTCTCTCATTCTCCTTCTGGAGGTTGATGTGTGGAGATTTGAGAGGGCTATCCCTGCAGCTCTTGGAAAGCATACCGATGTTTCCTCTACTAAAGGGGTTCGGAGTAGGTGAGGAAGGCATCCTACAAGTGTTGTGGCTTCATGACTGTTCGTTCAGCAGAGATGCCACCAAGACAGAAGTAGGCAAGATCTCTCAGCCTCAATAAACCATTTTTTACTTGTTCCTGATCCACTTTTAACCAGGCTCTGTGACTGAGTTTTCTGTTAATGACTGAGTGTTTCTAATTAGGAATGAACACCCAGAAGACCAAACAAAACCAAGCTCATCTCTTCTACTGACTGTAATAAAGACCATCATTAATCAGTGATATGCAATGTATGCTACTAGTGCTCTGATGGGTTGTGGACTGCAGCAATTCCAGTGGAGCAAGCCAGACAAACCAATCCCTCATTTGAGGTTGACGGGGGGGTCCAATAGGATAACTCAGTAACATCACAGTGTAACCAGCCAGCAGTCCCCAATGCCTCGTTATTTTTTGGATGCTGGAGTCTAACAAGGAACCAATTCCAAAGACAGGCTGTGCTGTCCAGCCCTTGCCAAGCACAGTTTCTGCATGTTTATTAGTCTTCTTGCCCCTCTCTCTCACATATTTTTACCTAATGCAAGGAAAGTTGTCGTCAGAATTGTCTTATAATTCCAAAAATATGTCTAAGCAATGGTAAAGAATTTTAATAAACACAAGTCTGAGTTATTTCCTACTTGACATTTCTTGTAAATCTGAGTCAGAGTTCATCCACAGGTTTTGACATCAAATCTGAAGCATAAACAGGAGCCCCGTTCATAGCTTAACATTGCCTTTTGTTCCTGCTGCAGACACTCAGGCTGGCATAAAACTAACCCATTAGACGATTCATGGCTGAATGAGGGACTCAGAAGAGGTCTGAGTGTGTCAGGTAGTGAAGGATCAATCTCCCCACCTGCATTGTCTGTGTACTGCCCTGGGGACATGTGAGTGTTGGCTCCTAGCCGCCTTTCCCTCACCAACCCTCTGGGAACCCACCTCCCTTTCCCTGAAGGCCTGTTAGCAAACAGGTGAGTCTCAGGAGAGGTGATGGATACAGACACCATAGAGAAAAGAAACAAAACACTTGTCTGTTTACCTGCTTTGAGGTGAAGCACAGGGGAGAGAGCCAAAGATCATCTGAAGTCATATGGGGCTGCAAGGTGGGTGCAACTCCAACTGGCCCAGCCGGCAAGTTGGGATTTTCTAGGGTCTTTTGGTGACAAGGTCAGAACAACTTGTGGTTCTCTGCCTTAAGAAGAGGGCCTGAACAAGGTGATAACTAGCGGTCACTGAGGGAGGCTGGAGCCTACATTTATTCTCCTTGGCCAGTTATCTGGGAAAGGTATTAGCAGTCCTCGGCACAAGCCTTCGCCGGCAGTGCCTGTTTCTGTAGTGGCAGGCAGCATAAGGAAATTGGAGTGAGCATTAGAAATGCAATGCAGAGAGCCAGGGTTCAATTCTCTGCAGTAAGAGTTTCAAGCAACAGAAGCCTGTAAAAAGTGAGGCTTTTTCTCACTTTTCTCACAATGCAGTGTCATTTCTCCCTATGGACCTTGGGAAGCTCAGAATGGATCTTTTGCAAGGCAAAAAACAAAGACGGGCTGTTAACTCTGTCTTTGTGGTCCTTCTGTCTTTCTTTCTCAGGGGTCCTAGAAGAAGCCGAGTTTTATAACATTGGTCCTTTAATCCGAATAATCAAGGATCGACTGGAGGAGAAGAACTACACAGTAACTCAGGTATGGAGAGAAATGGCAAGGAAAGATGATAGAGTGGGGTGGGCGAAGGAGGGAATGTGGAAAGGGAGAGGTGAGTCTAGAGGGAGAGCAGACTTGGGAGAAGCAGCAAGGAATGGAAAGAAGCATCTAATTAGAGTTTGCGTGCTAATGTCTACACAGCAAAATCTTGCAGGGGACAGGCTACCACTATTTTTGTTACAATAAACAAGTTACAGGCTTGTTTTGCATCCCCAGAAGTAATGCTGGATGTAGCCCCTGAAACCAAATCGGCTCCTCTAGCTTTTGGAAGAAGGCAGCTGGTTGCTGTGGGATATGGAAGAATGTTTATGAGGAGAGCGAAGGTGTCGTGGGGAGGAGGGCTCTGGTGTGGGGGGGTCCTGGGAGTGTAATCACAGTGAAGAGCATGGGGATACCTGTAGAGAAACCTGGAGGGAACAGGTGAAGAGATGTCTGTGGAAAAGTTAAATGCAGACAGTGAGGCACAAGAAATCAATCCTGTCGCACAATCACACCTTGTCTTGGCCAATAACCTTTTAACATCTGTCTTCTGGGAGTGTTGGCTGATATCTCACTTTTCGTCATGTCTGCCTCAAGTTGTAAGCCTCCAGCAACACAGTCGCTTTGCGCTCCCAAAACCCCATCAGCATTTGTGGCATTTGCATAAATGACTTTGTAACGACAAACGCAAACTCCCCATTGAAAGAGACCAGTATCTTCTGGGGACGATGCAGGAAGCACTCAGCTCAGTCCCTCCTCTCCAGAAAAGATACAGTTGTTGTTGCTCCCCATGGCAGCACAGTAGAAAGTTGGGTTGTGGTTTCCACTCCCCTTTAACCTGGGACATGGGGAAGAGGTCAGGTCTGTCCAGGAGGGTACTACCACTTCATTCTGCAGGAGAGCAACAGCCTTTAGCATCTGAATGTTGTCAACATGCTCTGCAATTTTGCTGTCAGGTGCCTCCTAAGCATGTCTACCGCGTGCTACAGTGCCAGGAAGAGGAGCTCACTCAGATGGTTTCCACTATGTCGGATGGATGGCGCTTTGAGCAGGTATGGAGAAGGTAGAGGGGAGTGGGAAGGAGTTGTCTTTTGGGGAAAAGATCATGGATACCATACAGTCCCCAGGCAAGGCACCTTCCCTCTGAGAATATTGGGTCACTCATTGATGGTGCTGTCACACTGGCTTTCTCTTGCCCCTACTCTAGAGGTTCAGAGGATACTGTGTGAGGTTAAGCTGTTCTGCATCCTAGTTGACTCCTCTCCTGGTTCTCTGTGCTGCCTCCTGAGCTTAGTTATGAGGCCTTTCTATTAGGGGTATGGATTGGACTCCATGCTGCATGGTGGGCTTTCTGCCTTGCTCCACAGGTGGAGTGGACGTTTGCAGTAACATGTGCTTGTGATTCTTGCTCTTGTCTTTTCTAGCTTGTGAACATTGGCTCATCCTATAACTACGGGAATGAGGATCAGACAGAGTTCCTGTGCGTGGTCTCCAAAGAACTGTACAACTCCCCCAGTGGCCTGAGCTCTGAGCCCAGCCACAAAGCCAAGGTGAGACCAACTTTGCTATGGCCCTGCTCCCGTTGCCTATGAGATCCTTCGCTCTTGTTTGCTCCCTCTTTTTTTCCTCTCTCCACTGTGACTGTGGGGCACCTCAGTGGTGAAATACAGGGGCTTGTCCTGGTGTTCAGCACCGTGGCATTATACCCATTGCCCAAAAGGAGGAGTGCGTGTGTTGAGAGTGGTGGTGTTCAGCTGTGTGTGGCAAATGGCTTTAGCAAGTGACCCTGGCACTTCTCATGCTACTCTAACATCCCCCTCATGCCTCCCTCATGACCATGCTGTGTGTTTCACTCTGCCTCTAGGGTATGATTTCCCTGAAGGTTTTGCAGTGTTCTCTTTCCTTTTGCTGAGTCCCAGCCTAAGGGGCAGGAGATCACCTGCTCTCCTTTAGAGGAAAGGACAGAAACGTGTGGCAGTGCATGACACCCTGTAGACAGCTATGATACAGGAAGGAGCACTAGCGATTGATAGCAGTTGTTGGGCAGTGGGATCACAGCACTTGTAAGTGGATTAGATAGCCCTGACATGATGCTCCAGAGGAAGACAAGTCTCTTTGCTCCCTGACCCAGAGCTGTCTTGGCCATGGGGAAAGGTCCCTTTTTATTCCAGTGTCATGACCATTGCTTTATTCCCTTGTGTGTCAGAAAGAACTGCCATGGCTCATCTTGCAAGTATCTCCACTCTTTCTTCCCTTTGTCCTGCATGCTGGGCCACAGAGCACAGAGGAGGACCTGGAGGAGGAAGAGCAGGAGGTGGAGGCAGAGGCAGAAGCAGAAGCAGAGGAGAAAGGTGCAGCAAATCCTTGAGGAAAATGATAAAAATAACCCCCCAAGCATAGACCCGTCCACCTTTCTGGTGAGAGCTCACAGCTAGCAGCAGGGAAGGACTAGGGCAGGTGTGGGGTGTGGGGGCAGTCCTCTCCAGGAGCAGGAGTCTCTCTGGAGATAAAGCTGACAGGGGAGAGCTATTACTGTGGCTGCTGCTTTGTATTTTAATCTGTTCGGTTTATTTACAGTTATATTTTTATTTGCAGACTGTCCATCTATTTGGGATTGCACTAAACTCTTTCTTCCTCCGGACCCTTCCTCCTGCTGCCCTCCGTGTCCATCCCAGCACTGTCACCTACCTCCTACCTTGCCCCACTCCCCAGCCTCCAGCATCCTTCCCTCTGCTCTCTTTGTGCCCCAGGGCTCAGAGTGGTCCCTTCCCTGGGTCCCTGTCTCTCTCTGCTCCTCACTTTTCCTCCTCTGCAGGTACGTTACCTGTCTGCACTCTCTGCTCCCGCCAGCCTGAGCTCTGCATGAGTGATTCACTTCCCTCTTGTGGGTATGGCCCTGGTTTGTAGAGCTTGGGGAGGGGAAGGAGGGAGGGGAGGTTGACTCATCCCTAAGGTGGCTTTTCCCATTCTCATCCTACGTGTGCCTTTACCTGCCAAGCAGACCCTACGGCTCCGGACCAGAGGCTCTGGCAGCAGAAGGGAGAGCGCAGCTGGGAGAAATGAAGAGGGGTAGAAATGAATGCAAAGCAGGCAGGGGTGGCACGGGGAAGGGGGGAAAGTCTGCCACGTGTCTGCTTGACACGCATGCCAGATCACTTCTCCAGACTGCCATCCACAGCTCCTTTGCCTGCCAGCCCGAGAGCAGTTTGCAGAAGGCAGCCTGTTATTTTCCCCTCCCTGCTTTCACTTCCCTGGGCTTTTCCCCCACCGCCTCTGCCAGGGTGAGAGCGCAGTGGGAGAGGGTGGCGAAGGCAGAGCGGAAGCGGCTGATCCCCGCTCCAGACGTTCTTGCAGCTGCCTGTGAAATGAGCCTCTGTGCTCTGCCTCCTGCTCAGGGAGGCTGCCTGGCCAGTGTGCGTGGGGCTGGGTACAGAAAGCTTTAGAAGGAGGATTCCCCTCTCATACCGGAAAAGTGCGGGGCTCTTGTTAAACCAGAGGTGCTCCGTGCCACTCTCCGTCCTGGTGGAGGGCACTTGTTAGCTGGCTGACATTTCTCTCTCCCTCTGTTCGAGACCCTTCTTGTCCGTGGCTGTGGGACCTGAGTGTTATTCTCTTAAAAGTCAGTGTATGTTAACCACGCGGACTTTTCCTTCCTTTTTCTCTGTTCTCCCACCCTCACTCCTCATCTCTTCTCTTTTTCTTCTGTTCTCATTTCCTCTGTCATTTCCCTTTTCCTGTTTCTCACTCTCCCCTCCATGCTCAGTTGCTTTTTTTCCCTGCCATTGATTTTGTTTCTCTCTTTCTCTCACCTTCTCTAGCTGTTACAAGCCAGAGGTCTGAGGATGTGATCCCGACACTCCACTCCAGCCTTTTCATTTCTTGTTTATATCTTTATTTTTGTACTGCAGTGTACGGCAGCCCCTCGCCCCACAGAGACACCCCCAGCCCCCTTCACTCTTCACATGCAGCCGTTCTTTTTTACAAACTCACTTCGGAGGCCTGACCCTCAGCCCTGGAGGAGGGCAGATGCTCCAAGGAGCCCCTGGGCTGCTGTAGGGACTGGAGCCCACGGCCCCTCCCATGCCTAGCAGGCTAGCGTTCCTTAATGTCACAGTGGCCCCTGCTGGGGACATCAGTGATCAGCCACTGCAGCCCGCGGCTCCTTCCTGAACACCCTGGATGCGACTGGGGCCCTGAGGTGGTGGCAGCTGCTGTAGGACCAGTCCTCACCCTTTCACTGTTGAAGGCAGCTGGTCTGGGCTTGTGGCCAGAGGGCAAATGCAGAGCCACTGCCCTTTTCTAGGCCACCTGCACTGCTCACGGGGTGCCCCTGTGCTGGGTATCACGCTCCTTGGCGCCTCCCTCCCTGTCCCCCAAAGCAGCCCTGTGTTGGCAGGGTGAGGAGGAGACAGGCGTGCTGCCCGGGTACCGGGAACATGCTGGCACCTGGTGTCGTGTCTGCTAGCACGAGGAGATCCCTGCCTCGGGGAGCGGGGCGTTTGCTTTACTGCTCTGAGGACCCCAGGCTGTAATTCCTGAATAAAATTCACAGTCTGCTCCTCCTTGCCGCCTCTCATTGCAAGTGGCAGAAAATTGGTGCTGGTAGAAGGGGGTGGGAGCTGGAGAAGGGGGGTTTGGATTCATCACCCGAAGCCACCAGCAGCTGCTTGTGCTGTGCCTGTCTTCTGGGGGCTGGAGGTACTTCCCACTGCATCTGTGCTGCATCCCCACTGCAGGCAGCTGGGCTACAGAGCAGGTTTGCTTATTGGTATCTGCACCCCTAAATCATAACAGTAAGTGAGGACCACCTACCTAGCTAGTGTATTGACCCCACTGCGCCTGGGACACAGCTGAGAGGGAGGGCAGGGGTGTGGAAACTTTTGCTAGTTGCCAGTGCCAGGATTGGAGTTTGGTCAAAAAGATACAAACCCCAAGATAATTTTTAACAGAGTAAGGCAAACTAGAGCCAAAACCCCCCTCAAATTAATGTTATTTCTAATTCCAGAGAGTGGCCCATTGTATATATATATACATACACACATATATATATCTTTGGTAAAAAAATCAAACCCATAGCAGTCACTGTTTAAACATTGTGCCCTTAAGCCTTCTCCTTCACCTCCTGGATTATCTGACTTAGGAGATGGAAGCAGTTGAGACGCCCTTATGTTAAAGGTATTTAGAAGATCTGAGAGAAGGGGATGGGAGGCTGCTCCAGTGTTTTTACTGAGGGGCCGGGGCCTTTGCCTGAGGGAGTCCAAGTGCAGCAGTGGAGGCTGGGTGCTGCTCCAGCAGGGAGGCAGGACACACGCTTGGGGGTGTGATGCTGGACTCGTGCCTGGGAGTCAGTGAGACGTGAAGAGTTGCCTGGCTGAGCTGAACAGCACACTGAACAGCACCCGCCAGCTAAGAAAAGAAGCAATTAGGGAGATGGAAGAGGAGGAGTGATGGGAGGGGAAGGGGGAAGAAGGATGAGCAGCAGGAAGGAAGAGGGAGGCAGATTGATTTCACAGTTACTGGAATCTCTAACTACATCAGTCACATTTTCTTTCAGCAAATGTTCCAGCATAAGATTGTGGCTGAATCACATGGTTCATGGAAAGTTCAACTCCCCTTATTCCTTTTCTCAGAAACCACCAACTTGGGACTGTTGCTGCGTATCGTG